AATAGCCTTCGAGAATAAAGGAAACCTATTTTGAGAAACGTCCCTCTGAAGTTATTACTTCAGGAGAGAAGTATACTCTGAGACAAAGAAAATAGCGCGCGCACTGAAGAAAATATTGCCTTTTGTAACACAATCTCATCCGGCTTTGCAAAACCTCAAGAACCTACAGATGAAGAATTATAACACCTCAGAACTGACCCTTATTAAGATCTAAACTTTGAGGGTAGAAGATTTGAAAGCGCTAGCGAATGGTGGGAGACGCACAGGTCTATCAATACCTTTCAACGGTCGACTGCCTTTTGGTTTCCGGTTTTCTGACGTGTCGCCTCACGCAAGATAGAGGTTTTCATGGATCAAGTGATTCTTTTCATTGCTCTAATTAAACTGTCCTTCATTCAATGATCAAGATAGAAGATTTACCACACAACACTCGCGATTATTTAGGTTTCCTTCTTATAGGAAAGTAGATTTACAACGCGATTGATAAATGCCCTTGCAGTAGTAACGCTATGTAACGCAACACACTAAACAAAACAATGGGCCTTTTCGCTCCACAAAAGGGTCTCAAGCACTGTCACTTAAAGTGCTTAAAACATTTGTATCGTTGGGGCGCGTTTGAGTGCGTTTGGTCAGTGCTGTTGAAGAAGGATCAAAGTGGCCATACAAATCTTTTAAAGGCTTCAAACTACGACGCACAACGAATTTGACCTGCTCGAAAACCAGTCTCGAATTACATGCTAAAATACAGTGCTTGCGTTTGTCCTTGAGAACGATATAATACGTGACAAATATGCACGAAAAATACTTCTACACGTTCAGAATATATCAAATTATATTTACCTATAGTGAAAGGAAAAACAAACGACCTAACTATTACGGAATATTCAGTCAAACTCTACCCATTTCTACCGCTTTTACCGCCATATTGTAAATAACGCTACCACTATGCTTTGCAATCGGAGTGCGCACACCGCCTGGTCTTTGGTTACATGCGAAACCAGCAATTTCCTAGTTTCTCCGTCAAGTGAGTTGTAAGGAAGTGCGCACGCTGGCCCTAGAGAAGAAGCACCAGAAAAAACGAAAAACCCCCACGTGTCAAGTCTGCATCGCCTCACATGTCTACATTTATCTTTATTTACCAAATCTAAGATGGCGGCCTAATACGAAAATGTGCACTCGTGCGCCCAAAATACGCCGGCACTGCAGGCTACGAAGATTAACGTGAGCATACATCCCTCTCCACGGTACAAGACCAGCCTATCACTGAATGGTCAAGTTTGCGTAGACTCAGCGACTCAGCACAGCTTGTCCGCATAGTGAACGGGTCTGAACGTTAAAAAAAGCCACAATCATAACAATCCTTGATTAGGGATTAACTAACCCTAGTAAAACGATAAGTTTAACCCTCTTGAAAATATTTGAAAAACTGCGAAGATTAGAGTAAAAATAGTCTGGAACTTTAAACATCTAAATCACTTCCACCGACACTGTTTTTGATCTGGATTCACCGCCACACAAAAAAAAATACATTCTATTTTGACGGAGGAGAGGATTATCACGCGCTTAAAAAATCCCAGGTGGGTCGTTGAACACTGAAAGTTTTTTTTTATGTTTAGCCAAACGATTCTTCAACACAGGGACAAAACGGTAATTCATAATCCAATTTTTGTCGTCTGGCACGATGAATCTCGATGAGCTGTAAAGTCCATCTCCCATGCACTCTCGTTAGTTATTTCCCTTACTGTCTTCCATACAATTCTTATGATGTCAGTTCACAGAATTCGGCATTGAATCAACTAATAATCCCCTATTTGATCTTTTTATTTATGATTTTCACTTGTCTGCTTGATATTGCATAGATATTGCATAGATATTGTAAGAAGAAAATCTGTCGTGGTCTCTCTTGGGAGTTGATATTGTAAGGAGAAAACGTGTCGTGGTCTCTCTTGGGAGTCGAGAGGTTAGCAACTTTCCTTGTTCAAAAAACTGACCCTTCAAGTATCAAAAAAAAGGGTCTTATAACGAAATACCTTGTCCATCATGTTTCTAAGTTAATAGCGTTATGAGAGAACACGGTGATAAGAAAAACATTGCTAGTGTAAACAAAGTCCAAACGGTGCGTAAGAACCTAAAGATGATATTCCGACAGGTAAATTTATAACTGACTTCCTGGACGTAAATCCGTTATTGACGTTATAATGCCTCTTTGGGGCTAATCTACAAAATTTCTACATTTTATATGGTTTCTAAAGCGGCAAACAATGCGGAAAAGTACTTTCCTCTGCACGATTTTCAGCTTTAGTTCTATGTCTGTGGCAAACAATGCAAACTCATTTGGTAATGTCTTTGGAGATGAAGGTTGACAAATGTTGAACGCACGTGCGCAAATCTTGTTTGTCTTCTACTTAACGGCTTTTGCGTGGGATTTTCGCGGCCGCTGTCCCAACACTCTTTAATTAAACAAGCCTTGTCACTGTTTACTGATCATAAAAAAACGGAGTCTTAATTTGTCGCTGGTAATCTGTGCTAATTTTGTTCATTGTGTTGAAATCCTCGATTTGTCTTTTATTAGCATTACCTCTGTGAAACTTTGCTATCATCTCGATGTTTCTGTTTTTCTTACATCTTTTGATTTCTTAGTTATGGTTTGGCATGGTCAAAATCATCGACGCGAAATAGTTTCTTGTAAATCTTTTCATACAAATCACCAAGGCTTCTATACTTTCACTTACAGCAGGTTGTAAATTACAAACACATTTCCTCCTGAGTGTGCCCCTCTTACATTCTAAGACGGCGGAGCTTCTTTGGTCTGACTAAGTTTAGATATGAAAGGACGTTGTTCTCCTATCGCTGCCTGGGTAACCTCAAACACGCTCAGGAATTTATAAAACGAATTTTCTTCATTACAGATTCACCGGGCGTTCATCGAAATCTATACAGCCTGTCTATCGGCACCACAAAGGGTAGCGCTCTATGGGACAACCTGTCTAACGGAAATGCGCGAAAAAACATTACTCTAGTGGCTATGCTTTTTAAGAGAAAAAAAGGAGGATTTTTCATGTTTTGAATTATTTTCCGTCATCGATGTTTTTTTTTTCTGTTTGTTTCTTTGCATTGTTGCTTCGTGACAAAAAAAAAAAGGCTGGATGTGAAGGAGACATTCCGTCTGATGGCTATCTCATGTCGCGCATAGCCAACGTGGTTTGCTTCTGATACCTCGAGTTAAAGAAAATTTACTTAAACAAGGACGACACAGTTTAAGAGGACAGTAATTCCCTATATCAAAACCACAACTGACATTGGATGAGCGTCAAAATGGGATATACGTTGTTCCATTTCCTTTCGGTGTTCTTCAAGGCACGTTCAGTGTCCCACATGCGACGATCTTGAGAACCAAAAACTTCTTGGGTGTTTTGTACTGTTTCCGTTCGACCAAGAATGGGCTTTCAATCCTTTTTTGTTTTCTTTTTTAACTTACTAGTCTTTTGATCGTTATGAACTATAAAATCAGTTTAGTTTTTTTATCGTGATCATTTTGGGTTTTTCCGTGTCCCTAAAGCTCATTTACCTTTCCAGCAAAGAATCAGCGGCAAATAACTTAAACCAATTCATGCGACTGCTTTCAAAATTTGACATTAGAAAAATAAATTCTGATCCAGTTGCCGCTGTAATCAAGTATAAAGACGATGATTATATTTATTTTAAGGATTTTTAATTTACAGTCTTGTGTATAGCATATAACCTAAACATAATTCTAGGTTCATAATTAATTTTTAGTACTTATTTTATATTTCTAAATACACGACCCCACCAGCTCTGCTGAATACTCCACCGTGTTTAAATAAAGTGTTCACTCACACTTACCTTCCGCGATCGAATCATTGTCGCAGCCGTTAGATCCTTTTCCAGTTTTATTCTCAAAAATCAACTTATAGCACAGGTAACTTGTTACACCAAGGCATAGGACTGTTAAGACCAATAACAGAATAATCAAAGCCACCAGACATCGCATTCGTCCTGAAGAAGATTGAGGTAGTCTATCATCTCTTTGATGCCGACGGCTGACGCTCCTCGTGTTCTCAACATGTGGTTTCTTGGGAGGACGATTTTTAAACACGCTGCTGTCGGCTGTGAAGGGAGCTCTATCTAAGCTGTTGAACGCCGGGTTTTCGTAAATACGGACTTCATCGTAATGAGTGTTAGTTGGAGGCCCAGAATAATCATTTTCGAGTCGTATTCGTCTTTCCATCGTTTTCTGCTCACGGCAATCACCTTATGGCCTCTGTTTTGTTTGGGTGCGTCTTTATCGAGGCATGACAGCTATTTCCTTTGAAGTTGTTTTACAATCTGTTACTTGATCACCGGAAATTGTTGAGGTTTATATTTAGGGGCTGTCGGTGGGAAACAAGAATCACGCGATTGACTTTTCACGCAAGTTTTGCGCAAGAAGTAAAAAGGAGGAAGAACAAATATTTTCTCACACTGCGTCTCCTTTTTTCTTGCTTTTATTTCTTTTTTGTTTGAGTCATTCAATGATTAAATGGAAGGAATGTTCCAGTCTTGCATTTGATCAAGAAATCACAATGGAAGCCCGGGAATGTAATTTTAAAATTAAAATAAGTTCTCAGATTTTAGTTCGCCTCTGGAGGTTCTTAGACGTAATTCCGCATGTTTTTAAATCCGAGGAATCCCTAAATCCTTATGAGACAAGATGGTTAAAACCAAGGAAACTGTGCCAAAGTGAGATTGCTATAGTTCTTCTGGTTAAAAGTTCCAGATGGGCCCTAGGAGAAGCTGTCGGGAAACCTTTTGCGGGCATGTTGTGGGTGTAACACAAGGAATGACGAAGGTGTGTGGAAGGGAAATATCAGATGAATGACTGGAGGGTCTGTTCAGTCTCATTAGACCTCGTCTTCAGATTATTGACCTCGATATCGGCCACTCAGTATCCTAACTACATATCTGTTCGAAGTAGATTTGTCTGTCAGGATACTTAGATTCTCCCCCTCCTTCCCACACGAGGCGGGAATCCTTACGGAAGCAAAACATCCTTCGCAACTGATACTCGCCGAGCATGACACGAGCCCCCTCTCAAAGGTGATGAGTGAAAAGCAACAATGCGCAGGTTATTTAGTCCATTTTTCTCGTATGTTGACCTTATTTATGTCTGATAAGGTAGTTTTAATATTTCTTACATAATTATATTATTTACTTGAAACGGTTCCACGAGCGTTAAAAGGGAATCTAGGTACTTTTGATTGACTACCTAAACGCCATGTTCTTCTGAATATTTCTCAAACGTCAGCGTTTGGCCGTGTAGCTCTGTTTCATCGACGTCCCCGGACTTCGTCTTGGGTGGAAAAAAAGTATATGCAAAAAAAAAACAAAAATTAGAAGCAATATTTAGTCGTATTGACCTCACGTTTAGTCAATAACTCTTATTGTATTCGCTCCAAACCGGAAGACATTTCTCCATGCACGGCTTTGCGGGTGGTTTGGTTTAAAGCCGGAAAAGCAACAATTTTCTATTTTTAGAAATATAAAAAAACAAACAACAACAACAACAACAAAAATAACAAAAACAGAACAAAACAAAAACCAAAGCAGAAGAAAAACAAAACAGAGGATGAGGCAGAACAGGAAAAGTATGAAAATAAAACAAAACTCGATTTAAGGTTCGGTTAGAGATTGGTTTCTCAGACCTTTACGCATATCCTGTGAAAACTGTCTAAGGCCATTAAAATGGGAGGATTGTATTCCATGCTATCAGTATCATTATGCCAAGGTATGCATTTGTAAAACCACAATATTTCCGCTTTTAGTCAGCTCTCGGGGGAAAGATCACCTCTACACTAGATCTAAAGGCAAATTTACTGTACCTCTAATCAAAGAATTGTATGTATGCGATTAGATTCAAAACGAACTCCCAAAATAAAGTATGCGTGGAATCATGGGTCACGGAAAAAGAGAAGATTAACAAAAATACACGCTCGCCCTGGAGCAATCGACTATTTGACTATTTGCCACGTATTTCTGGGTGGGCGATAATATTGTTAAAACATATGAAGATCAATAATATCTTTACTTACTATATACCACACAGGTCAACAGTGCTTTTCGCGCACCTTGATTGGCTAGTTCGGAAATGATTAGCAAGTGCCATTCACCTCCGAGTAGCCGACAGAAACGACCTTTTTTTTAAAGGTTGATAGTTTCGAAAGAAACTGTTTGGGGCTGCGTCGGTAGGAGCAACGAAATAATTTGGGTATATCAACAAAGTTGAAATGGTAAATTGGCCACCGTAACGATTACGAAAGCTGAAGTTTCGAGCGTTAGCCCTTCGTCGGAGCGAAGGGCTAACGCTCGAAACGTCAGCTTTTGTAATCGTTACGTTGGCCAATTTACCATTTCAACTTTGTTGATATACCCAAATTATTTCGACCTTTTTTTTAGTTTCTATGCGGCATATACTACTAAAACGGTTCAGTATTCACCTCAGTATCAGTGGGAGTAGTGGATGATGAACTATTGCATTATGCATGTTTGATATATTTGCACTTGCATTTTGCTCTGCACTTGTCCTCAGACGAGTTAATTTGGCTTAACATTCTGCCGATTTTAATTGCGCCTGTACATCTTCATGTTTGACATGTTTACACCCGTATAAGGCTGATTTTCTTGGCGTCTGCACTATGCAGATTTAATCTGCCCTTGTATTATGCAGATTCGATTTACGCTCGCACTCTGCGAACTTGCCTTGTACCAGACATGCTCTTTGCTGATTCGATTTCGCGCTTGAATTGAAACCTCAGAATTCTTTTATATGTGATAAAACTTTCGCTGTTTAGTTATTTGCCTTGTGTATGACCCGAGTTTCAAAATAAGTACAAAATAATGCGTCTATATTCAATAAATCAGGGAATTTTCCTTCGAGTCAACCTCAGGTTTCAGATACTAATAAGCTGAATTCGGCCGGGAACACTGAAACTTAACTTTTGCTTCCCCTCCTTAGTTTCCACTCAACTCAAATTAGAGGTCGACTTGAACTTGAGTTACTATTCAAAAATAGGGAATAACGATTATACTGGTTTCCGCATCACGTGTTGTCACGAGAGTGAGACAGCGCTTTCAACAACGGTTCATCCTCTTACCCAGGCCCTTCAGATGAAACCAGTTGTGTGTTTAATAAGCAGCATGGTTAAGAAGTCTAATTTGAATACAAATGATGACTCAAAAGTTCCGCATTGAGTGTGTGGAACCATCCGTCGCGCGGCACACGTTTTGAGCACTGCGACTGAACTGACACGAAATGGCTTTTATCAGACGCGACTTGAAGGTGATCTCGAACATTCAGATTGTCATCTGTGGGGTGCTTTTCATTTTGGGTCTGGTGGATGGATTGAGCGTGCGTTTCGTGTATTCCAGCTTGACTTTCACGCCTTGCTGGATAGCGGCCCTTGTAAGTAAACATCATGTTAGAAAATTTGAGTGAAAGTAAGGGTAGGTCGGTATTTAACAATTTCTTGCCTCAATATTGAGAGAGAAAATTTTTGTGTGGTGCCAAAATTGTGAAATCCTGTGGATTGTGAGTGCAGGCATTTTCCATTTATGAACTGAACAAAAACTTTTAAACTGACACAGTTCGTTGGGCAAGCAACTGGTGAGTAACATGCCATGTCAATTGGCATAGAGGACAGTGAGACTAAAGCTAAAAAAAATGACCACGCTAACTAGTGTTTGATTTGTCCCTGTGTCGACATTGTATCAAAGAGGGAATTTTATTGAGAAATTAAGGCCTCCCATTCTCTGTTATTTTTGCGCCAAAAGTAAGCTAGAACCGACTAGCCAAGGTCCAATAAGTCAAGTCCAATCTATAGTCCAAGCCGCAGATGAAACTACTTGTATTTAAAAGTGATTTATGAGGAAGTGCGCCCGTATGCCTTCAACTGTAAAAGAACTTGTCGTTAGAATTTTAACCTGAAAAAAATACACGTGATAAAAGCGAAAAGAACGGTAGCGATATAGGATTTAATTTGGCGATCACTTCTCAAATATCGTTTCCGCGGCTTGTTTATAATTTCCGTCTTGTTAGAAAATGTCTCTTACAACACGCTACGGAAAAGTGCGGATGAACTGTTTCGATCCTCTATTAACTCACGTTAGATGAGTTTAAACAAAAAAGAAAAAAAAAACAAACAAACAAAAAAAAGGTCGAACTTTCAAACTTGAAGGCAATTAAAACTTCGACCACTTCTTCGCTCATACGATATTTCAGCGAGCAAGTGTAATGCATGGTTTCTTCACAGAACAAATTGTCCTGATGATATTTCAGATCTAAGTACTTAAACTCAATATAATTCGTCGAAAACTGGCCCAAAATGACATGCTTAAAAAAAATTTGATGCTGACTCATTGTGTTTGTGGTAACAGTGTTGTTTTCGCAACGAATGTAATTACTCAATATTTATGAAATGTTTTAAATTTACATTACGTCATGGAGGCGATATCGGTGTACCTAAACAACAGTTCACTGACCACACAGGTTTAACCAAGCGAAAAGAAAAACTTAAAAAAAAAATCGGTTCACGAACTCGGGAGTCCGATAAACAAACATGTCAAGTGGGTTAGGCCAGCCAGATTGACAGAAAGTGTAGTCTATTGCTTTTTATTAATGACAGGCTCGGTTCAGAAATCGGCAAAATGGAGTTTATCTGATGATGATAATGTTATGCCTTAACGATTACATAGATGTTTAGTAAAGCAAGGCGCGCATGTCAGTGCTTTTTTGGCATAAAAAATTAGCATTCTAAAATGATACTTTTCTCATGCCCAACTTTTTCTCCTTTAAGGTGTTGGCCGCTGGTATCATGGGCGTGACTTTAAGCAGCATGCAGAGACCTTCCTTACTTCTGGTACGAAATACGAACTACTTTATTTACGCATCATAAGGCCACCATTCATTCTCCACAAGGAAGAATGTACGTTAAATAATTCCCGTTAAATACACTGTATAGACCAGATACATTTACCTCGTATACATAAGAGAGGAGATACCAATTTTTCATGTGATGCCTTCGTTTTTTATATCAAATTTTTCCCTGGTTCTTTGCAGATGAATATCTTGCAGTCCGTGAGCATAGCCTGTGCTACAATATCAGCCATAACCGTGTACCATTACTTGGTCGCAGTGTCCAGCTTGATGGTTTTGGGTTATACTTCAACGCTGAGCAGGGGTTTCCATAATAAAGATCCCTATTTCTTTGACTCGGACCAGCTGGATGACATAAACTTTACTAAAAAGCAAACCTCCATGGTGGTTATTTCCTCTCTGATCATCATATGTTCCATTCTCGAGATTATTCTTGCAATGGCAGCCATCAGGAGTAGTAAAATAGGCGGTCAGATCTCTCAGGAACAGCAAGTAAGAGAACTTGGTTCTAACAAACCAGATTTTTTTCCGTGATGACCTTAAATCAGTGTGGTAGACAATCAGTTAGTCAGTCAGTCCATCCGTCCGTTAGCTAATTGGAAAGAAAGCTCGTCAAATCTTTTTGTCTGAGAAAAGTCATTAACTTAGTCAATCATTTTATCAACCTGTTTGTTAACACGCCATAAACAGACCGATTTGGAGACGTTTTATTGCCAAATTGCTGCCACTACACGATGTATAAACAATGTTTAACAAATGTTCAGTGAGGTAGAAGTGAAAAGTGGTGGATATTTACCGAGCTACGAAGCGACGCCGAATAACTATTTAAGTTTATACCTCACAGAAACAAAAAAATTAGCTTATCTTTGTCAGTACACCGAAGAATGGTCGGAGGTCCGATGTTGTCTCTTCGGCTGCTCAAAGATGAAAAGTATTTGCTATTCACTTCCTAACCAACCAATCAGTGCGCACGATTTTCATCTGATCACTGGACATTCCTCAATTTTAACTAATGCATATTGGACCACGAAACGCGTTTAGACAAATCGTGCAAAACGAAACATCTGATGGATAATAATTTTTTGAATTTACCAAGGTCATAAAACACATCATATTACTTATTTTCAGGTAGGTGTTTCGTATGGCCAACTAGAAGCTGGTCAGTCGCCGGTGCAATTGCAAGGGCAGCCGACTTTTGCAGCTCAACCAATGGCGGCTTTTCCAGAATCAGGCGCTCGCCCGGTGTACACCATGAATCAGTAAATACTGTGAACGCTCTTCATTGGCCAAGAGTGAGGGAAGGGGAAGAGGAGGGGGGGGGGACGGTAGGCTTATTAGATAAGGGAAGGGAGGGGAGAGACATAGGTTAGTAAAATTCCTCCCTATTCTCTACAATGAATTCAAAACCCTCAACAAAAACGATAAACTTCATTACCGTTCTAGAGCTAAGAGAAGCACAAAAAAATATGTCTTTAACGTAGATCTTGGCCTTGGCTTTGTTTTCTTTTTTAATGGACCTGTAATCGTCACTGGAAC